GCGAAAGGCGGGGTACACCCTGGACAGGTCGCCAGTCCATCGCAGGGCTAACACACAGACGAACAACCACTCACACACACGCGCTCCTACGGGCAATTTAGAGACACCAATCAACCTAAGCTGCATGTCTTTGGACTGAGGGAGGAAGCCGGAGCACCCGGAGAGAACCCACGCAAGCACGGGGAGAACATGCAAACTCCGCACAGAAAGGCCCCAGGTCGGCCAGGGCTCGAACCCAGAACCTGCTCGCTGTGAGGCGTGTTTGTACTTTACTTGAGTATTTTCATTTTCTGCTACTTTTTACTCACTACATTTATTTAGTTACTGGTAACTTTTCAGACTGAGACTAATCAAACCAATCCCAGTAGAACCATCAGACTTTATTGATCCCTGGTGGGAAGTCCACCAGCGACCCAGCAGGATGTAAGCATAATGAGTGCTTTTACTTTTGGTGCTTTAAGTATATTTTATGCTCATACTCTTGTACTTTTACTTAAGAAACAATTTAAATGCAGGTATTTTTACACTGTGGTATTACTAGTTTTATTTTCATAATCAATCTTGAATACTTCTTCTACCATTTACTACAGCAGATGCATTTTGAAGGGACTGTGAAAAGAATAAAATCTTTTATATAAACTTAATGAGGAACCTTGTCAAAACGGTCCTGTTTGTTATGAATGTGCACATTTCATTTCCTGTGACAGTGAGCAAGCTGAAACATTGGACATGAAGCTCTTGATCTAACCAGTTTGGTGCGTCTGGTGCTTTTAATTGTTTTCCAAAACCAAAAACAAAAAAGTGCAAAGAATGGACTGACCTGTGTGTTTAACTGCTCTCACACAGCTGCAAAATCCTGGTTTCCTAGTTTTCTACCTAGATTAGATTAGATTCAACTTTATTGTCACTACCCATGTACAAGCACAAGGCAACGAAATGTAGTTTAGCATCTAACCAGAAGTGAAATAACAGCAGTGAAGAGTGTGCAGTATCTACAGTATCTACTAATTTACCGATATATACAATTGATATTTACAGTAAGATATGTAAGGTAGGGTACAATATACAACAGACTTTATGGATTTAAATTACAAGTAATGGATAATGTACAGTAAACTTATAAACCACTAGTGCAATGGGATGAAAGGGAATGAAATGAAATAGTGCAGAATAAGAAGATAAGTTACTAACAGTTTAATGGATGTAAATGTGCAAAGATAAAGATAAATATACTGTATCAGCATATGAACAGTGTGCAAATGAATACAGAGCAGTTTTCTGTCAGTATGTGAGAATTAACAGATCACTTCAGTGTTACAGGTAACAGAAGTGTATTGCATTAGTCTCAGGAGGCGAGATGAGAAGGGGTGAGGTGTGTGTAGTGATATAGAGGAAAGCAGTGGGGGGCCAATGGGGGACAGGGTTCAGTAAGGAGACAGCTGTGGGGAAGAAGCTGTTCCTGAGTCTACTGGTCTTGGTCCAGAGGCTCCTGAGGTGCCTCCCAGAGGGCAGGAGGTCAAACAGTTTGTGAGCAGCGTGAGAGGAGTCCTTGTGATGTGTTTGGCAGTTTTCACCACCTGCTGCAGCGCCTTCCGGTCAGAGACAGAGCAGTTTCCATACCAGGCTGTGATACAGCTGGTCAAGATGCTCTCGATGGCACAGGGGTTCACAGAAGTTCACCAGGATGGCTGAAGACAGGTGGTTCTTCTTCAAAGTGCTCAGGAAGAAGAGGCGCTGGTGGGCCTTCTTAACCAGGATGCAGTTGTTGGTGGTCCAGGAAATACAAAATACAAGGTAGAGGAAGCCTTCAAGGATGATTTAGCAACATACAAATCATTTTTCTTCAAACAGTGACCCAGTGAATTTACTCAGCAGAGATGGAGCGATAACTCTGAAACCACCGGTCAACATCTACTCTGAACACACCCACTGCTACTTTACAAATGTAACAG